CCGTCGGAATAGTGGCTGTTTTCTTGTAGTGTATGGACTTGAACCGCACTGATCATGCACAAATTTACATCCCTCAAGCCGCATCTACTTGCAAGGGTTCAATGTAGGAGCACACCGTCTTCATATATCCGCCTGGTGCAACATGAACGAGGAAGAAAGACTTTGTTTCGGGCTGTTTATTGAACAAGTGGATGTCTCGCAGGGAGAACATATGTACTATGAGTTTGCTGCCCAATCAAGACCAACCGAGGATTTTGTCGAAAGGCACAAAGGAACAACAATGACACTAGGTGGTGATGCTGTGGGATGCACAGATTTATTAGCGATGTCGTGGACAAGTTTAATGTCAGAGGATTGTCTTTACTTCATCGATGATGTCCTTCACTTATGGGTAGACATTTTCTATCCGCTTTTAGAAATATCTTCTCTTGACGTTGTGTATAAGATAATCACACTATTCTTCTTATGTAGATTAGGCTTATAAATATACCACATTCATTACTTTCGATCGTTGGCCTCCATATTCTTCTCTATGTAGTCAATAGATGCTTATGAGACTCATAGTTGTATTCTTTTTGGCCTCCATATTCTTCTCTATAGTCAATTGATACTTATGAGACTCAANACTGTATTCTTTTCATTACAATTGTTGCTTCAAGCCTCAGAAATGGTTAGTTGAATCTTGTTTCCTACTTTTCATTACAGTTGTTGCTTAACAATGTCACCAACTTTTGCTTTGCTGTTAAAAGTTGGTTTGTTTGTCAAAATATTGATATGTTTTGGGGGAGTCTAAAGTAACATGCACAAAAATAATTGTTGACTGTGCTCACTGTTGTATTGAGAGATAGCAAATAGCTCCAAATTGGTGGGGTTACGCGAAATGTCTAGTATACTACTGCAAATCCTGCTCATCACATGCACACACCTTACTTCCTCAAGAACTACATTTGTCTCAAACGAAATAAATAGTTGGGAGTACACACTCTGTCATTCTATTGTGAAGCACTGCAGCAAATTTATATATTTGGTTCTCCAACAGTGACTTGTTGCTAAACAACAGGTACGTCCTAGACCTTTCCAAGCGAGTCACCTCGTTTAACCATAAGCTCTACATATTGAATCTGCATTGGTGGACCATGCTGCTGTAAAAGACGTTCTTGGACCAACTTCAACAGTTGTAGCATGAAGTCCCCTCTCAAGAAAACTATCCGTGCCTGAAATTTAACTCAAACATCGATAACAGAGGGACACGAGAATTATCTGGCTCATATGTTTCTTGAAGAATCCACTTCAGATGCAAGAACTTTTCGTTTTCTAACTCCAATTTAAGCTCAGTATTGAAACACTGTTCTGTTGTCAAATTGACAAACCTGTTGCTGAATTTGGTTTAAAGTGCTTTCAGCAGCTCAGCGTTTGCGCTTTCTTGAATCAAAGGCGATAAAAATGAACAACTTCAGCAGCAGGTTTCTCAACCAAGCTCCGTTGCTCATCGACATATAGTCCATCCTCTTTGTCCTTTTTATGTTTATAGAACTAATATTAATCCGTTCTCAAGAGGATATCCGGATCCGGGATCCGAGAACAGATACGTTATCCGTTCGGAATCGCTCCAAATATTAGGATATCCGGAGAGCCCGGATCCGGATAAGGATAGTAAAATTTAGGATCTGTGAAAAGAGGATCCGGATCCGGATAACAAAATTTTAAGGTCTGGATATCCGGATCCGGATCCGGACGCATTAAATATATTAAAAACATATATATTATATATCTATTAAGCTAATTTTATATAAGTAAATATATATAAAAATTGATTTTAGTTTTTTTATAATAAATTATATTAATAATGAAAAATATAATTTAAAATATTAATTAATAATTTTAAAAATTATATTTTTATTTATTTATTTTAATTATTTTTAATATTAATTTT